TTTATCATTATTTTCTAATAACTTTGTCATCAACAGCTGCAGTCGGTGCGGCTCACTCAGGCTGACCCGCGGTGCAGAGGCGTTGCGCAGCAGCCGAGTCCTGCAGCCGCCGGAGGGACTCGTTGAGCACCTTCTTCATCTCCTCGACGTGATTCCCCCGGCCGTACCGTGAGGTCCACTCGAGACTGACGGGCTCCACCAGGTCCAGCGCCGCCCGCACCATGTCGCGCACCGCCAGTACCTCCGTGCCGCCCAGCTCCATCAGCCGCGGGTCCTCCATGTACCGGAGCAGCTCGCGGAACACACTGGAGGGGGCGTCACTACAGACAGACCACTGCAAAGCTGAGAGCCCCTCGCGGTAAAGCGAGTATACGGTGACCTTGCGCGGCGTCACACACCGCCTGTCCTTCACTGTCCTGCTGTAGTGTGCCTCCAGCAGCTGCAGCTCCCGCACCAAGAGGTACTTCACCACCCCCAGCGAGCCCGACGCCACAGCACTGACTAGGGGTGCGTTCCCACCTGAATCCACCAGCTGCAGCCGGTCCAGGCGCTCGCGCTGCTGCTGCTTCGGGAGCTGGCTGGCCGGCACGAGGAGCTTCACCACGGCCAGGTGCCCCATACCCGCAGCCATATGCAGTGCTGCACCCTCACGGGCACTCCGCCGCTGCAGCCACCGCACTACCTCCGCGCGGCCAGCTGCTGCGGCCGAGCAGAGAGGCGTCTCATCAGGTTTATCTGGAGGCGTTACGTCCTTGTCCGCGCCCAGCTCCACCAGCCGCTGCACGGCCTCCAGGTGGCCTCCTCCCGCCGCGTGGCACAGCGGTGGGGCCTTCTCTTCCCGGCCCTCCCACAGCCGCAGCAGCGCCGCTCTCCTCCCTGCGTCCTGCTCCGCCTGCGTCTGGTCCCACAGGGCGTCGATCACTTCCACGGAGCCACCAGCAGCCGCGGCGTGCAGCGCGGTGCCAGAGTCCTTGTCGCGCTGCAGCGGGTCAGCCCCGACCCTCAGCAGGGAGCGCACCAGGGCAGCGTAACGGTGTTCTGCGGCGAGGGTAAGGGCAGTCCTCTGGTAGTAGGTGTCGAACTCCAGCCGCACAGCATCCGGCCAGTACTCCAGCAGGTGTTTGGCGACCTCGGTGCTGCCCCCCACAGCCACTCTGGATACGCACAACTGCGCCGCCTCGCAGTCTAGCTGCGCGCCGCGCCGCTTTAGCTCAGCTGTGAGGGTGGAGAACACGTCCGCGTGTCGGAGCAGCCCGGCCAAGCCAGCAGCTAACCAGAAGTCTTCATCTGAGGGCTGCTGAAGCACGGGCAGGTCCCGGAGGAGGCTCACCACGGGAGTGCTGCCGACCTGGGCTGCTGCGGTGAGCGGGGTGGCCTGGTCCCCGACAGACTCGTACCGCGCGCCCGCCTGCAGCAGCACGTGCACCGCGGCCTCGTGGCCGCCGCGTGCAGCAAGGTGCAGGGGTGTAAGGTTGGAGTTCTTATCGTTGAGGTCGTAGTCAGGAATGAGCGCCAGGATCACGTCGGCCCGGCCCGCGAGCGCCGCGGTGTGAAGTGGAGAGAACCCGTAAATACTAGGCGTCACTGGAACGGGAAGACGCGTAATTAGTAACGTCTGCAGACTCTTTACTCTGAATCAGGTTTTTAGAGCAATTTGTCTCACTCTAAGAAAAATTACAAATTTCTGTATCAAATTTGTTACAGTTTTCTGTATCCGGGCACTGTGATACAACAATTTGCATCGGTGATACAAAATCTTGCAAAAGCTTAGAAAAATTTGTAAACATTACAAATTTTTTATTTTATTTCAAAATTTTATATTCATTTTATAATTTTCTGTAATCTGATTACAAATTTCTGTAAACGGGATACAAATTTCTGTAACATGGAAACAGATATCTGTACGTGCGTTCAAAATTTTGCGGTTTTTAACGTTCAATTTGAACACGATATGTGAGCAGTTAGACTGAATCTAGCACCATCTACCATAAAATCTATTTTCAAAGTATTCACATATAAATCCCATCTAATAGCCTGATAGCTAAGAGAAAGGCTCAGGCTTCAGAGCAGTACTAGTTAGTACTGCTCTGAAGGCTCAGGGGCCAGCCAAGACGTGGAGAAGAATGACACCGGGTCGGAGCACGACTGCTCGCAGGTAGTCGCCTTAGCCGTGTGGGCTAAGGCGTCGCATTCCAACCCAGAGGTTCGGGGTTCAATTTCCGGTTAGGTAAGGTACAACTTTGAAGTTAACTGCCTGTCATGTGTGGGCAACATCTAAAATGAGACAACCAGCAGGAATAAAACATTTTTCTTTCATATCGGAGTATTGAACATCAACGTATTTTCTTCTGTATCGATGGATACAAATTTCTGTATCCGTATTACAAATTTGTTTTTGTATCCAAAAGAATACAATTTTTTGTATCACGGATGCTGAAAAAACTGCACATCCAAATTACAGATTTTTGTATTAATTTTTTTAAGAGTGGCATATATGTCCTCACCTGGACATTGCGGTCTACCCCTTCAGCTGTTAAGTCGCTCGCTATGTGTTCATTTTTAACATTTTCAAAAATATTTTCATACCGACTGTCTGAATTTTCAGACTAAACGGTATGGTAAGGTAAGGCACTACTGAAATTTCAGACCCGGGAGCAGTCTGAATTTTCAGACTGCTGGTCTTTTAAAAAAAACTTCAGACTAAAAGTACTGAAAATTCAGTAAAACGTTTTTTACAGTGTGGCTGAATTAATAATTACTAACAAGTAAGTGTTTATGAGCCCTGTGGATTTGCAGCCAAGTTAGGACATGAATGTGCTAGATCGACACCAAGAGGCAAACTGAAAAAAGCTCTGGCTTGGAAAGCTTTGTGTATTATACTCACCTCGGCCTTCATCGAGCAGCAGCTGGGACACCTCCGCGGTCGCAGCGCAGTGCAGCGCGCTCCGCCCCTCCCGGTCCTGGGCGAGCGGGTCCAGGGCTTCGGTCTTTAGCAGCCAGTCCACCAGGCGGGCCTGGCCGGCCTCGGCAGCGGCGTGCAGCAGCGTGCGGCCCCGGCAGTCCCTGCTGGAGAGGTCCACGCCGAGCCCCGCGGCGCGCTGCACCTCGGCCAGGCCTCCCCTGCGCGCGCCGCGGAACATCTCGTCCTTGAGCCTGGCCAGCCGCAACACTTCAGCGTTTACAGCTGCGGCGGCTGCCGGCTCCTGTACTCTGTGTGCCACGCCACGGCGGTCAGCGACTAGGCTGCGGCTAGAAAGAAGAAGTCCCCAGAGACTGCGACATTCTTCAACCGTGGGAAAGAAGACCGTCATGGCCAGGTCCTTGTGGTTCAGGTGGTTCCTCAACTGGCGGCCGAACAAGGCGGGCTCGTGCGCGACCAGCAGTGGCGGAGCTTGGTCGTCCTTGTACCAGCGGGAGGCCAGCGCCTGCAGCCCGCCCTCTACGGCGTAATGCCTTACCGGTCTCACATGGTTGGAGTCTCGTTCAATGGCCTCCAGGGCGGAGAGGGCGCGCTCAATGGCGTGGCGAGATGCCTCACCAGAGCCACCACCAATACAACTTGACTCATTCAGTTTGGCTTGGAAGTTACTCAGGCCTTCGACACTTTTCCAATCCAGAAGTTGGCGGATTCGGGGAACATCTTGCGGGCAGTGTAGAAGCACAGCCGAATACACCTTCGCGGTCAATGCCGTGAGTGGACTTAGGTGGGGGCTTTTATTATAATTACATTGAATGGCAATAATCACGTTTTCCCGTGGTTGCAAGTCCCCCAGTTCACTAATTAATTTGTGTAGTTTCTCGTCGCGTTTTCCTTGGTTGGCAGCTTTTAGTATTTTTATCACTTCTTCGTAGATCAGAGTTGCGTCAGACGTCACACTCTTGTTTCGTAGTGAGTTTGCCACTCTGTCGGTTTGTGGAACGTTATCCAGATTCATCCCCTTTCGCAGTAATTCAGTTTCAGCTTCGGTGAGCATGGCTGAGACCGTGTGCAGCACTCTTCCCAGTTCCTCCTCTAACCACTTCCTCCTCTGCTCAGAATCCAGGTCAGACATGGTCAGTGCCTCCGCGTTGGTTCCCGCCGCACTGTGCTCCTGAACGTCACGAATCCAACTGCACAACAACTTGAGGATTCCTTCCGGGGCCGTCAGCTCCAGGAGCTTGACGTAGCGACTGGACAAGTTGGGCGACGTCCACGAGTTCTTCATCTTCTCCCCGGCTACGAAAAGACCTCTTCGCAAAGCCAGCCACCCCCACTCCTCCCAGATCTGCGATGGTAGTCGCAAGGCTTCGATGGCGGCCTCGAGGGCCTTCACGACCTCGTCAAGTGAGTACCAGTCTCGTAGCAGCGTGAAGTCCTCGAGGATGGTCTTCAGTCGCTGGTCGACAGCTGCCTTGGCTGTTACTGCGGCTCTCTCTCCATGGGCTCTTTTCATTTCCTTCACAGCTGCCTCTCTGTCTGGGCGGATTTTGTACGTGGTTTTCATAACCCTTACCTTCTCCATGAAAAACTCTAGGTGCACTCTCATTTTGTCCGCCTGGGTCACAAGGAATGTCAGGGTCGTGTAGACGGTCCGCGCCTCGACGAACATCGCCAGGAGGTACTCGACCTCCTCCCAGGGCACCTCGCCGTAGGACCGATAGAAGTGCCCCTTCAGCTCGCGGATGGCCAGGGCCGAGAGCGTGGCCAACTCCACGACCTCGTCCTCCTCCTCGCCGTCGCGCCCGAGTAGTTCGAGCAGGCGCGGCAGGTACTCGTCCAGCAGCCGGTCCACCAGGCCCCACAGCGCGTCCCACCCCAGGGTCTGCTCCCTGCTCAGGAGCTCCGAGTAGCCGTTTAGAAGATTCTTTAGAAGTTTTTTCATTTTGTTGCTTACGAACACGCCCTGGTCCTGGGCCTGGCGCCACGCCGCCTCCAGACTGTCCTTCTGTAGTCGGGCGTTCGTCACTGTGCGGAGTACGGCCTCCACGCCCTCCACGCTGTTGTCCTGCAGCGCCTCCAGCAGCGCGCCGCTCAGCCACTCGGTGGTCGACCCGTAGCGCAGCGCTACCATGGAGTCGACTGCACACTGCTGCATGTCCTCGCTCAGGGGCAGCCTCTGCACGCGCGCCCTGCGCCACGCGGCGGCCAGACTGTCCTCCCTCAGACGGCCGTCCACCACCCTGCCGATTATGTACTCCAGCTGCCCCTTGTTGCCGTCCCGCATCGCCTCCAGCAGCGCGTCGCTCAGGGCCTCGGCACTCGGCTGTCCGCGGCCGGACCGCAGTTTGTCGGTCACGTTGACGAGGTTCCGCACGCGGGCCGCGCGGTGCGACCTCCACCTGCCGATGGGGAGGCACGAGGGTGAGTGACTAAAGTCGACTGATGCAGTGCGTCAGACAACAAGAAGCTGGGGCTCACCATGCTCTAGCAGCGTCTTCTTGCACGGCCATCGTTGGAGCAGAAGGACTGTGGTTGAATGGTTGTTGCGCCAGTGACGTTGGTGTCGGCTGCAGTTGGTGATGAGCCGTGACACAAAGATGGCGTAATATATGTAATCACTTACTTTAGCAAATCGCGAAAATGTTTGTTTGAGGCCGTTTAATGAAATGGCATCAACGCAAACGGCAGCTCACCGAATTGTATCACTTTCTTCCTTCTCTTGTAGTAGTTCTCGTGCGGGGCGCACATCCTGGTGACGACGGGACGCTGCTCGAGCTGCGACCTAAACTGCCTGTCCGTCGGCGTCCTGACCTGCGGCGGCGGCCGCCCACCTTATCGGGAAGATCCTCGCCGTTATCTCGGCGGCAGGGGTCCGGCGGCGCGGCCACTTCAGATGTCGCGAGTCGTGCGCGAATATTGTGTCGGTCGCCGGTCGGGCCCATGGGTCCACCTTATACCCGGACAAAACGATTGCCTCGGCGGTAGCGCCTGCACCGCTCTGGGTAGGCCGACCCGCCACGCAGCCGAGTGGAGTCGGTGGCCCGCCCTGGGCGCCCAAGTGTGTGGTACTGCACAGGACTCCGGACGAAAGGGAGCAGTTGGCGCGTGGCCTCGTGGGCTGATCATTGGGGGTGGAGGATGGGG